ACCCTATAAGTTGGGTGCAAGGATGTTGGTACTGCCTATATTGAGAGGTATAAGGATGTTAGTATTGCTCTAGCCTAAAGGACTTATATGCACAATCCTTCTATAACTGTAACTTTCTGTAATAACTGCTTGTTACACATAGTGCCTTCACTTCATGATTGGGTCTCCTTTTAGAAATTTCTATTTCCATCATTGTACTGCACTTGGACTTTTAACCACAAGGCTTTGTGTTCAATTACAGACTCTTTATTAGGTTACAGAAGCTAAAATCTTTCAATTTTGCCTTCAGCCAGACTTGAACTATTGACCTTGACTGTGGAAGGTATGAGAGCTTAACTGCTAAGCTATGGGACCTATATCCTTTTAATTAATTAAAATTAATTTACATTAATTTAATAAAATAAATATATTAATAAAATACAATTAAAGAGACTGCTAAAGAATTAATTACTTATGCAATATATTCTGATAATAAAGAATTAAAGTTGGCTATAGAAAATTATATTAGGGCTAAATTTAATAATGATTTTTAAAGATTTTCACCAAAGCAATAGAATGCATATTATATGAAGAATTTTAACAAACTAGTAAAACCATTTTATTTAATTTATTTCTTAATTTTAATTATTTTAACTAATTTAATATAATTCAAACAAGTTTGAAACTAATAAAATTAATTTACTTTTATAATTTATATTTTTAGCTTTTGAAAAAAATTAGATCTTTGCAAGGTACTTTAACTAACAAGCTTAATATTTTTTGTATTTAAGAATCTTTTAGAACTAATAAATATGAAAGCATCACCTGAGATAATTCTAAAATGAAAAAGATCTGAACAAACCAAAGCATGTTATAAATAGCTATTTGATGAAGTGGAAAAAAATTCTGATAAGATCTATATGTCTCAAATTTTAAAAAAAATTTGGCCTAGTAGAGATGCCTTTAAAGAAAATATAGTATATGCTATAGCTGTAATACAAACTATGCTTAATTTCAAATATAATAAAATAATGATATCAAATACTGTCATTAAAAATTTAATTACAAAAAATTTAGTATATATTTATTAATATTTTAGTATTTATTATTTAAAATATTTAAATTAATTTGAATTAATTTACATTTTATAAAATATATTAGAGCATAGTAATAGTTTTTATATTTCAAGTTTCAAAGATAAAGATGAAGAGTTCAATAAGATAAAAAAGAATCAGTTGATAATGAATCAGAAAAAGTTGATAAAATATAGTTTAATTAATTAAAATATTTTAAATTTATTACAAAAAATATTTTCTTATATTTAAATTTAAACTAATTAAATAGGATAAAGTTAGAAAATATAAACATAAATCAATTCAAGCTGATAAGGTATAATATTTAAATTTAATTAAATTAAATCAATATAAATTAAAATTTTTATAATTTTGTTTTAAGATGAGCAAAAGATTAAGAGTTGGTAAGTAATAAAATTTAAAATTAAAAGCAATTCAAATTAATTTGAACTGTTGTGATTTTAATTAAATAAATTAAATTTAGAATACATTGAATTAAATCAAGACAATTTGGATAAAGATCAAAAAAAAGGTGATAAAGAACCTGAAGATAATAATGAATATATTAATAATGATGAGTAAAAGTTTTTTTTTATTTTGTTTTTTTATATATGAATAATATTATACTTTTTTTTGTCTTTTATTTTTTTATATATTTTTTTAAAATAGGATTATCATAGTTTAGCTTTTTTTATATATAATATTTAAAATAAATTTATTAATAAAAAATTTAAATTTAAGCTATAAAATTTGTAATATATATATTTATTTGAATAAATTGATTTTAGTTGTATATTTAGTATAATTTGATCTAATTTGAATTATTTTTATAATAAATAAATAATATAGTACTATTAAATATATTTAAAATATTTACTTTAAATCATAATAATTTAATTTAATACAATTCAAACTAGTTCAAATTTTATTTAATATATCTGAATTTACATTTTTTAATTAACATATTTATTTTATTTTAGTTTTATAACTAATTTATTTTTTTTAGTTTCAAATTATTATGAATTATTTCAAAATATTGTGAATATTTTTTGTAATATTGCATAATATATTTTATAATATTTTGTAATTAAAAATTGTGAAATATTTTACATTAATCATAATTATTGCAGAATTTTTTAATCTATAATAACTTATATAAGATTATGTTTATATAATTTGCTGATGTCAGTTTAAGACTTCTGGCAGCCTGGTTGGTAGTACTTCTCATCTAAGGTTTTTGCCTGTCTAATTTCTTCTACATTGGTATCTGTTTTTAAAGTCTAGCCTTTACAGTAGTACTGTTAAAGATCTATGCTACTTCTCTACTTAGGTCTTTCCAAGTAGACTTCAGTTTCTTAGTTTATAAATTTATATGATTACAAAAACTTATCTTGGGTTTGCATTACCCAATGCTGGTTTGCATTCTTTTGTATAACTTCAACATTGTGCAGATGCCTCATAACCTGCCAGTTATTTAGTGTGATCATGTTACAGATACTGATCCCAACTGATCAATAGAGTGCCATTGTCATAATATTATTTACCTTTTATAATACTGATATAACATAAGTAGTTTCCAAATTTTTACTGTCAATGAGTATTGAACTCTCAACCTACCACTAGGAAGGTTGACAATTTAACCATTTCACTAAGTCACTACACCTCTAGAATAAAGTTAATATATGTTAAATTAATTTAATAATTTATAATAATTTAAATAATTTTTATTAAATAAATAAAAATAAATAAAGAATCAATTAGAGAATAGTTTAGATTTTGTGCTATCTGCTAATAATAAGTCAACATCAAGTGAAGATAAAAAAAAAAGTGGTTAGTAAAGTAAGTATTAATTATTTTATTTCATATTTAGAATAACTTATATTAATTTAATTTCAGTTGGCAAATAAAAGAAGAATCCAATCACCTTTACAAACTTCTAAAAGAATAAATATAATATTAAGTTGTTTTTTTTTTAATATTGAAGGTAAGTACTTGTGACTTAGGTTTTTATTAATAGTATGTTTCAACTTTGTAATTGTATTATTACAACAATCACAGAAAGCAACTATAAAAAAAGGGTACAACTAGTTACTTATACAACTAGTTACTCATACAACTTTAGTTATTATCTAATTTAAGTAGTCTTTTGAAAGTTTTACACTAGCTGTCATATCTAGAACCTGCTTGTGAGTTCTTTATTTAAACACTTTGGTTTTTGTATTTATTCACTTATCTACTCTACCAACTGTCCTAGATTTTACCAGTATATATTAATTATGATTATTAGGTCTTTAAAGTAGTTTACTCATATGAGAAACCTTTAACCTTGTACTAAACCTATTAGAGCCTTCTGTTATCTAATTTTTAGCTAACCTAGTATTACTATAGCTAAAACCAACACTTGCAGTTAGGATAATTCTTAAACTGCTATATTTTTGTAGAGTTTATACAACTCCAATATCCTCCTTTACAACTTTATCAGTACCTTGTATGCTCTTGCAAGTCCTTCTATACTACTAATCCAGTTAGCTCTATATAATGTGACTTTATATCTGATTCAACTAGTAGTCAGGTTAATAAACCCTTTATCTTGGATTCTTTTCTGTATAGGTTACCTATTCTAGATTTTTGTCTTCAGATTGCAATTTTCACAGATAATACTATTAAAAATTATACTATTTTTTTACTTGAGATTTCTAAACAGGGCTTTTTATAGAGTATATACTTTTCATATTTGTTTGTATAACATTGCATACTTCTAAAGTTAGTCTTTATACAATCAGAATTACAGAGTTACAACTTCAGATATCCCATACAAGTTGCTAGAATAAAATCATTTTTTAAATTTCTACTACTAGTAGAATTTGAACTCTGGACCTACTGCCTAAAGAATAACAACCTAACTACTACACTAGAATTACCATTCTTATATAATATTAATTATTTATATAATTATTTTTAATTTTTATTATTATAAAAAATTTATTATTAATTTATTATTAGGTTTCTAAAAGAGTTAGAAATATTTAATCTTTTTCAGAAACTTAGACAGCTTTCATAACTTTAACTGTGCCTCAAACAAGTACTGAGCCTCAAACTAGAACTAAGTTTTAGGCTAAAACTTTGTTTCAGTTAAGGGCAAAGCCTTTAACAGAAGACTTATTAGAATTAAAAATATTTAAAGATTTGCAAGAAAAATCTTCAAAATATTAAATTTTTATATTTTATATTTTATATTTTTTTTATTTAATATTTTTATATATTATATTTTTTATTTTATTTTTATATCTTTATTTTTTACATTTTTAATAAATATAAACAGATTTATTTGTAATTATAACTTTAAATTTTTATAATTAAATATAATAAAAATATCTAAATATATTGGTATAATTTTAAATTATTTAACATTTTTCAGCATTATTTCAAATTAATTTAAATTATTTTAAAATATTTTGAAGTTTTTTTAAGTATTTTAAATATTTTTAATTTAATTCATTGAATCTATATTTAAGATTTATTATATTATTAACTATTATTAATTTTTTTTTTAAGTTAAAGTAAGGTTATGCCTTAAGTTTATTTATTTGAATATATTGTTATAGTTTGTACAACTTTTTACATTATACATTATCTATTACTTTATGCCTATTTAAAAAATGAAACTCAAACTAATTTATCTGCAACTTAAATCTACTAGAGCTAATCTTATATTCTATTTATATATAATCTGGATTTTTTGTTTTATATTTATCTATATTAGATAACTTGCATATTTTTCTTATATCTTACAACCTATTTTTAAACAACTTCCAAATTGGTTTGCCAGATTGTTCACTTCTTATAAGCTATCATCTTTGGTCTGTTAGAACAATGCCTTACAGTTTATATTTCAAGTTAAGATTCTACTGCTACTGCAAACTTCCCAATTCAGATACTAGTAGCATATATCTCACATTAGGTTTTTGCTATTGCTACTAATTTGCATTTTTCTGATCTTAGCATTATTATAAATAAATTGTATAACCAACTTGCTTCTTAAGTATTTCCTTTTATGATAATAGTTTGAACCTGTTTTTTGAATTACTTCTTCTAGTTGTTACTATTATAATATTATTATTACTTTTAATTTAAAATATCTCAAACTTGATTAGTATAGCATTCATGTTGATATATTCATTCTTATATTATTATAGACTTCTATATAGATGTAATCAAAGCTTTAGCTTGGCATCTTTAGATATAACTTTCTTTATACATTTTGGCCATCTCTTATATTAGGATATTTTATAGTGCCAAGAATACTTCTAATCTTAATAAAGCTGATTCTTTATCACAACCTGTCTTCATGTTTACTACTTCTTTTACTATTTTAGTTTTGGTTACTTTCAAACTACTCTTCTAATCAAATTCTCTTCTTGAGTCCCAATTAGGACTTATTTGCACAATTTATTAATTATCTTTTCAAGCAAGTACTCTACAAGTTAAGTGCAAGCATATTAGTATTGCCTAATTAGAAGATGTAAGGATGTTGATACTGCTCTAGTCTAAAGAACTTACATGCTTAATATTTTTATAACTATAACTTTCTGTAACAACTGCTTGTTACATATAGTATCTGCATTCTACAATTAAGTCTTCTTTTAAAAATTACTATTTTTGTTATATACTGCATTTGAATTTAACTACAGAGTTTTGCATTCAATTACAGACTCCTTATTAGATTACAGAAGCTAAAATCTTTTTGATTTTTGCTTTCAGCCAAACTTGAACTATTGACCTTGACTGTGAAGATATAAAAGCTTAACTGATAAGTTATAAAATTTATACACTTTACTATTATTAATTTTATTCAAATAGTTTTGCTATATTTTAAATACTTTTGTTTTTTTAAATTTTTTGCTTTATTTTAAATATTTTTAAACATTTCTAATAATTTTACAATTTTATTTTTATTATTAATTTTTATTATTTATTTTATCTTTATTTTTTTTTTTTTGAGTTAAAGTTCCTGTCTGTGGGAGTTGATGTTTTTATTCATGTATTTGAACTCAGGTGCCTCCAGAGGCTCCCTTACATTGGAGGTTACAACTAGCCACACATGCACTTTTGGTGCCTAATTTAAGTAGTC